CCGATGACGTCTAACTACCCTTGTAGTGTCTCCCCTACACTAAACCATAATACAAACACAACAGTACACTCCAATCCTCTACCGGTATCAAACGCTCTTATATCCCGATACACGCGATATCGAATATTGCGACTCCAATTTACTCCTCATCCTCCGACTCGCTCTCGACGGTGGGCTGATAAGCGGCAGTAAGCTCCTTGTAGAAGGTCTTACCGACATTAGCGCTCTTCTTGGCCTGCTCAGCACGGGCACGGATAGCAGCAACCTTCTGAGCATGAGCCTGAGTACCCTCCTGCTGGGCCTGAGCACGCAGCTTAGCACGATGAAGAGCACCAGGGTTGAGCTTAGCCATCATCTGGCGGTTCTTAAGGGCATTCTTCTTCTGGCCAACACGGCGAGCAGGAGCAAGAGCAGGACGGCAGACAGCCTGAACCTCCTCAGAGTTGATGATCTTAGCCACATCAGCATTGGTCATCAAAGGCCTAGGAAGCCTGTAACCAGACTTCAAAGCAGCACCGGACCTGTAGGAACCGAAGAGCTGCTGAAGACGGTCGAAGGCGGGCTGAGTCCAGATAATGAATCTGCCGAAAGTGCCACCAGGAGCGACCTGCAAGAGGTTGAGACGATCAACCTGGCAGAGCTCGATACCGGGGATGTTACGGAAGGCCTTGGTAAGACCATCATCCTCGGCATAGACGACAAGAGGACCACGACGCATGACGTAACGACGATTACGCATCTTACCGGCACCAGCACGGATCTTCTTAGAATCTTTAACCCTCTGGAGGTCGGCACCTGCACCAAGGGCCTCAAGGACGGCAACGGCATCCTTAGTCTTCTGAACAGACTCAACACCCTGAGAGAGGACGAGAGGAAGCTCAGGTACCTCACCAATGCGATGACCACGGGCCATGACAAGAGGGGGCAAGGCAGACGCGGCAATGGCAGAGGCCATGGCATGACGCTTCTCAGTCAGGTTAGACTTGCGATGCCAGCGTCTCCAGGTCTTAAGAGGAGCGAACATTCCACCACCACGGCACATGTTACCGAAGGCACCCTGACCCGAACGGTGAGTACCACCACCAGGGACACGAGGGATACGAGACACGGCACGACCGGTACCCCAGGAGGCAGCAGCGGTCTCATAACCAGCCTCAAACTTAACACCACGAGCCTGACGCTTGTTCTTGGCCATAGCGGAGTGGACAGACCTCACTAGGTCGGGCCTAAGAGGGGCCTGGAAGACGGTAGGAGCACAGGTAGTGCTGGATGACGATCCAGAGAGATCGTATACTGATACGACGGGCCGAGCTGTGGACATCGTGTAGAGGTCTTATTACCTTGAAAGAAACTCACAATGCTACAGCCGACAATCGATAAGCTATGGGCGAGCGCTTTTATGTCGCGCGCATGATACCACATCCCGTACCTCTATCATTAACATGGGTGGTAAATCAGCAGTTGATTATGTTTATGATTGTTTTCAGAAAAGGAGTGTGCAAAACACAATAGAGCATCAGTAGTAGCAGCA